ACACACACACACACACACACACACACACACACACACACACACACACACACACACACGAAACGGCTTTTCAACCCACATCGATCACAATGCTGAACCAGAACAACAAGAAGGGCCTTACTTAACATATTTATTTACTTGTGCATCACTTATTTATTATCGTCATGATATTTTGCACTGAGCAGGATGCCAAGCCCAAGTTGCTCTCCAATGCATCGATCCGTGTATGAATGATACACTGAAAGCACTTAAACATAAAAAAAAGTATGAAAAATACGAACAGGTGTGAATTTAGCAAAGATTACAAAGTTGTATTGTCACATAAAAGCCTAATAGTGTGCAGAAAAACTTTAAAACTGCATTCCAGTGTCAAATTCTGCACATATTTCACTGTGCATGCAGCAATACAAGAACTGATATTGCAGCGAATTGCTGTTTGTACTCACAGGTATATGAGGTAGGGGCACACGTCCGTTGGCTTTGGCACTTTCATGCATCTCTTTACGATGCTGTTTCCAATATCTGTATGGAGGAATACCATCTCTACACAAACACAGAGGGAAAAAAAAAGATGAACAAAAATCAATTACAGATCTGTAACATTTTTACAAAACTCAAAAGTGTAGTATTGTCCGAGGTGCAGCAGGCTGTCTGTGAGTACTTACACACTGCTGTCGGTCAGTGACATTGTGTCTGCATCGCTCGACATGCTCTGCTGCTCACTGTCATTGGCACTGGTTGCTGGAGCCCGCGCATAACCCATGTTTGCGTAGTATGGGTTTATCGGCTCTCTCCATGGCCTGAAGAAGAATTGAGACATCGTGATTCATGTGAAGGAGCCATGTTAAATTTTCAGGGGTTCTTACAAAACATTCGCACCAGTTTTGTTTTTTTTTTGCCTTAGTCATGTCTGATATGATGCTTGTGAATTGTGCTAAAAAAATGTGTTAAAGGCTTCAAAATTGTGAATTCAAAAGTGTGAAGCGTCCCGATTAAATACACAAAATGGAAAAAAGGCTCAGAAAGTTTGGCTGCACACTACTTGTGCTCATGATTTCGCAATAAGACAAAATGCCACCTACTCTTGATATAAGTGGGTGTGCTGCAAAGATTCCCCGAAAAGAGCTATTTGCAATCTTGAAAGGGTTACAAAGAAGCTAACAGAAAAAAGTCTCAGCCTTGCCACATGAATATTTCCACTATAAGAATATCAACAGGTATTATATATTATTACTTATTATAATGAAAAATATTATACATGTATTTTGGAAATGTTTGTAAATGACAAACTTTAATTACCAAAATATTACTCTTGCATAATACTAGGTCATCTACACCGCTATACACGAAACAAGAAACACCCATCGTTTCCCACGGGACATGATAGGGCATGTGATTATGTACGCGCACATGCATGTATGCAAGTGAAAGGAGGGGCACTCAAGCATTTTAAAAATGAATAAACATAACATAACCCAACCCAAACAAACATAACCTGACATCTACTTAGTAAGAACATATACAGAAACAATCAACAGCCTCTCCACAAAGTTCCTCCTCAAACAGATCAATTCTGAGTCCACTCTCTTAGACTGCAGCTGGTCCCTGTTCTGTTCTGCAAGTCTCAGAGAGCTCAGCCCAGTAGCATCAGCTCTCCGCCTGCTGTGGGTTCTACTTAGAGCTGAATCTAGGGCTTGCATCAGATCTCCAGAGAACCAAATGCAAACGTAACCAGCTGCAGTCCAAGTCTGTCCAACTGCAGGACATGGGAAACACTAGATGCAAAGGATCGAAGCTGACTGGTTAGCACAGAACATTCAGATCTAGACTATGTTTTGTTTTTTTTTTAATTGACATCGCATGGAAGTTTCAATAAATGTTTAGATATTATTTATGTTATGACTGCAAAACAGCAGGCGTATACACACACACACACACAAACACACCTGTACTCCCTGCTGTCCTGCCTCCTCCTACTGGCTGAGGCTCTCTGTGGTGCCGTCTGCATCAGCAGGGTCTGAGTCAACCTGCAAGCTGGTGTGTCTCCACAGTCGTCCTCATCTTTCTCTTCCTCCACTTCCCTCACTCCTCCTCCTCCACACCTAAGACCACATTTATGTTATTAAAAAAAGTCAGATGAATTATATTACTTTTAAATATTTAGACAAATGAATTTCAGCTTCAAAACTTTGTTAGAGCTGTTCTGATCAGCTGAGACAGATTAGTGAAGTTTACAGTTAAATCCTATGCAATGCATCAGAATTGAAATGTGGTATAACACAAAGTCTCAGGTTCCTTTCTCTTCTCACCTCCACTCCTCATCCTCAGCGAGTGTAGGCAAATACCCAGAAACAGGCTTGGCTGGTCCTGATGAAGGGCTCTGATCACTGGGGTTTGGCTTTGGGCTTTCTCCCCCTGTCCGTGTGTACTCCAGGTACAGATCTGACTTAAGGAACAAAGGGTAGGTGTTCTCCTCGATTATGGTCTGGATCTCTGTCTGAGCCTGGAACACACAAAGACCAAGTTGGTACAATAAAAATGAAGACATTATTTCTCACCTCTCACTAAGTTCACTGTGACACAGTGCTCCCAGACTGAAAGGCTTTGCCCTTTCAAACTATATATTTCATGCCAAATGAATACTCATTACAGACCAACACAATTACACAGGATATACCAGCATTTATGTTAGAGACTACACAGCTAGGCTAACACCTATTCCAGACTGAAAAAGCAATGTGTGTCAAACCACATGCAAGCAATAAACCTGAAAGGGTCAAAGTGCATCCCTCGATGTGGCTTGGCACAAGTCAAGTTGGTTTGAATTCTAGTTGAACAGTACACAGCTTTGGATTTTATTACTTTGATGACTTGCGGAGAAACAGCAACGGAAATAAAATCAAACGTAAGTCTGTGGAACAGCTATAAAGAAAGCTAATTGAAACAAGCTTCATTTGGTCCATCACAGTAATACCCATGCATTCTTACTCAACATAACATTATTAAGTATACTCTATGAGACTCAAGTCTTTAAGACTGGTGATAGAAGTCTCATAGAGTATACATGTGGTCTCAGCATTAAGAAGATAAAAATGAGCAGTCATCTACGCAAAACTGAAAGTGTTCAGGGTTAAAGAGGGCAGAGAGGAGCAGATGATCCTTTGGTGTGGTTTGCTCATTAAGGCAGAAACAAAACAAGGAAACACAAATCTGTAGTTTAACAAAACAGCGACAAGTGTGTGACTTCTCTTGCTCTTTTACTTTTCCTGTCAGGATGAATGCCCCCTGTCAACCACAGGAACACTGTCAGAAGATCAGAAACTGATTGAGGTACTCAGGAAGTATAGCTGCACTTACACCGTGGGAACCTGGGTAAGCTTATAGTTTGAGTCACTGTTCCCTCCCCCTAAATAAAACCCTAAAGTCAATAAAGCAGAACTGAACGGCCCTGACAAATCTAACACGTTTCAAGACAGCAAAAGCTCCTTGTTCTGAGATTGTTTTAAATATTCAATGGAAATGCATACATGCAAGAACAAACTCTGTGAATTATAAATATGCTACTTTCCATGTTTTTAAATAAAGATACTCACTACAAAATCTGATCTGTATAAGGGCTGGTTAAATAGATATGGCTTTAAGTTCCTTAAATCTGGGAGTAAATATTGACACTAAAATTATAACGACTTGACAGGAATAGATCTAGTGCAGTGAGAAGAGCGAAAAACATAAGTTCCCAGCACCAGTCAACTGAAAGCACAGCCATATGAAAGCCATTGTCTGATTTTTTTTTTCATCATGAACCATCTTGCCAACATCCACAATTCAGTTTCAGTTTCCTAACCTGTCGGCCTGCAACACTGCTTAGCATTGGCACCTTAATGGCTACAGTTTCCATTCCTTAGCCAAATCTGGCCATTTAAACAAACAAAATAATAGCTGTCAGGAATGAATAACAGTATCTACTAGACTGTTCTCTTCAACCTGACTGGCATTCTGTTAAATATTACAATATAAAATTCTAATAACCTGTTCAAAAATGGCTGCATCGGGATGCGGCTTTCCCACGCAGTCTCTGATGAAGCTCTTGGTGGCAGCTTTGATCTGCCTGGAGACGATCCCATTCCCATCTACAATATACTTTCTGTAGATAGCCTTGGCCAGCTTTGCCCTCTTGTCCTGGCTGGTCTTCCTGAACCCAGAGCAGGCAAACCAGAAGTCGAGAAGGTCTGCACACCCTTCCTGGCACAGGAAGGTTCTGAACAGCTGGGTGCCTTCCCTGTCGTCCAGGAGGGAGTGAAGTGACTCGGCCCACTTCAGGTAAGGAGGGGTTGGTGAAGCAGAGCCCTCAGGTTCATAGCCCAAGTCCAAGTCAGGGCGACGTGGGGTCGCAGACGAGGAGGAGGGTGTATAACTTGACGGGTCCCCCATTTTAGACGACAGGGGATAGCCTGCGGTTTGGGAAAGGGTGTTTGGACGGGTGCTGACTGACTGGACTGGGGTGTCCACGTCTGAGCCCTCCTCACCAGGAACCGGGGGCCGCGGTGCATCCTCTGTAAAGTGGGTAGGGGCACTCATGGAGGCCACAACCCCACCCCCGCCCCTGTACCCGATCCCATGCAACTCTCTGACAACGCTCATGTCTCTGATTGCACAAGGCAGAGGTCAGATATTCCCCTTTAGCAATGACTTGGCTGGCAAACAATTCACCCTGCAATGGAAACAAGAAAAGCAGTTAGATGTAGTAGTGGAAGGTGATGACTCAAATACAAATATTATTGCTAAGGTGAGAATGATGACTTGAGTCACACCTCATCACTGAACTGTGTCACCCCACTAATACACACACAGTATGTATATATTTAGAGTGCGAGAGATCACTGAGTAATAACGTTAGATGATGAGCAGACACACGAAGTATGATACTAACAGTATGAGACTCATGAGAATATAGTCATAGAAACTGAAAATGCAGCTAGTTTGTTAACTTGGCATCTAAACTTACTAGCAAATACACCTTAGTTTAAATAATCTCGTATTTCTCCAACTAAATCTCCAGTTTAACGATGACGAACTCAACGCGCTTTACTTGAGTATCCAAGCTTAAGTTCACCAACAAGTTTATTTCGCCTGTGTAGCAGCTAGCTTTAGCGCTAACTCCTGTCAAATAACACGCTCGGTATTGCTGGACACTGTTTTGCAAATAACCAACTAATGCTAACAAGCTAAAATGGCTAGCTAGCCTTGTAGCAATGCCACCACCAATGCCAGGGCTTTGAAGTGAGAATCTCATTCATCTTGGCCTGCAAAGACTGTGGGGGATGGGCACCGAAACAAACTCCACACAACACGGGCCTCCGTGCAAAAAAAGGAAAAAAACTTCAGCACTAGAGGAAACTATAAACGTACTCGTAAAGAGCACATTTGTACAGAAGCAACGCAAACTTTCTTGTTGGTTAACCCCAACAAATCTAGTCTCATAAGATCAAACAAAACAAGAAAGCGAGGGCACGTTTCTGACTCTGCTGGCTGCAGCGCCAGCTAGCTTGATGTGTTAGCTAGTTTTGATTAGCTGGCTAGCTTAGCTAGGTCCGTTAACGTCCGTGTTTTCCACAAAAGTTTACGTCCTACCGTCTCTGAAAGCCCGTTCCCCGTAATCCGCTGCATTGGGGATACTGGCGCGAACAGTGTACTCCAAAACGCAGCATATGGATAGCTTTTGAGATTAAATATTAACGAAAATAACCCGTCGTCTTGCCCTTAACTCCCCATGGTGGCTGCTTTCAGAGCAATAATACAGAGCGAGTACGTGAGTGCACGCCGACTGTAAGCGGAGCGTAGTACGTTTCTAGAAATGCGCCGGATAGAAACGCCAAACACACGAAAAAATACCCGAGATTCTTTAATCTTATCCACGATAAATGCAGCGATACGTGAACGTTATTATAAGTGTCCAGCGTGCATAATTTTCAAATAGTTACAAGAATACAAGAAATGTAAAATTATTTACTATGCAAGGCAAAACTGACTGATGCAGCATTTTGATTCTGCAGCAATGTAGAGCTAATTCAAATTGTTTTATGGGATATTTACTGAAAATGTGTTTGTTTCAAAACCAAAGTATGACCGCCAAGTCAATGTAGTAAAGTACAACTAGACTCCAACAGCATTTATGGAAAAAGTAAAATGTGCAAACTGCGCAAGGTTTAAATATCCAAGTAAATTTAACCTATTTTAGAAACGCACCTAAATCCTGCAATTTAGCAAAGAGAAATTAGGTTCTTCTTACTTCTGATATTTTAATGGCTTTGCACTTAGAAGGCAGGCCATATGGTAGTGTAGAATAGTGTAGTGTAACTACACTATTCAAAGGCTTACTTTGAATGTTGCCAGCAACCAGTTACAACTGGAGCTTTTCTGACAATGCTCAATCATTCTCTGATGCATTAGTGTATGTATGTTTTTTGAATTATGTATTATTACTATGAAATGTATGTTAGCGCAGGCCCTTAACTGCTATTATTACCATTTTATGAACCTACTTAGTTGCAGGTAACAGTGCAGACATATCATCAAGAAACATGCAAAAGTATCACAGGAAAAAAAATCCATCTGGAACCATAAGTGTAGTATTATTACAGATTATATGATTATATTATTATTGCAATGGCGACTTTGTGTAGAATGATTGTATGTAGGTAGCTATAAAAATAGTGAAAATCTTTTTACTCTTCTGGAGTAAAAAGTTGATACTACTGCTTCTCAACACAATGAGAAAGACATGTTAAAAAAGTAAGCTTGAAGTATTTATTTATGTATTCATTAGTTTATTTGTTAATTTTCACCACTGTGGGTACATTAAATGAGTTATGAAGAAGAGTTTGTACTTCGTGTCGGTTCTATATGTCTCCGTTCTATGTCAAGGTAACCAAAAAAAGTGCATAACGGCGCCCCCATTGGCAAGAACGAGCAATTTCACAATATCTCTAAATGAATGGAAGTGTAATTCAAACGGTAGCCTTTTAATAGACTCCAATAAAAAAGTTATTCACGATAAGCCGACTGCACCGTACACTGTCACGCACATTTAAAAAAAAATGTGGATGAAAAAGAAAAAACAAACAAATAAATAAATGAGCCAGAATCCCCAAACAGCACCAGGGCACCACAATAGATCAGGTAGGCTACGGCTCACTTTGCTCCAGGCAATCTGTGAGTCTAAAGGTGAGACAGTTTTTGAGCAACGCGCGATGACAAAACAAGGCGACTCACCTCTAATGCGTCTTTGCGTCTGAACAGGTGTTCAGTCCGAAGAGCCCATCTCTGCCGGCGCAGTGACTCACAGGACAGAGGGAGCACGCTGCTGCCGCCACCTGAGCATGTCACTCCTCTCCGCCGGGCTGTCAGTCATGCAGGAGCACCGAGCTCCCACCGGCTGCTGGAGGGACGGAGAGAGAGAGAGGGAGACAGAGAGAGAGAAAGAAGGGTGTGTGTGTGTGTGTGGGGGGGGGGACTACAGTTATCAGGCTGAATCAATATTTCCAAAGGCTCGTGGGAAAAAAAGAACACCTGAACGTGGCCTTATTAAATGTTATTCCACAGATGTGTTGCAAATATCTGATATGAGCCATGTGTTACTGCATGATGTAAATTTGCCTTACACGTGGATTAAACTGTCACGTGTCTTAGTAAGTAACAAGACTAAAGAAATTACTGCACACACTGCCAAATTTTTTAATTTCTATAATTAGCAAGAATGATTTCAATTCACAGCACTCCTCGTCTTTGACAACAGCAAAAACATGAGAAAATACACTAATGCAAATGTCCATTAACAAATTGTTTTTGGTATGAATTTGAATCAGAAAATGAAAATAGCCCATGCCAGTAAAATCAGAAGAAGCAGCATTTACTCTCTTTGGAGATAATAAAACCAAACCAAGGATGCATGGAGCTTACTATGCCTCCTGAGGGGCCGTCAGGCCAGCTGTCCCATGTGAAGGAGAGCAGGGTCCGGTGGCTCAGGTGAGGTCCAGACACCTGTCCTCATCTCTGCCCACTCCTCGATGCACTGCTTCTTCATAACAACTCGAAGCTGGGAAATAATAACAATAATCATCATCACCATCATCCTTCCTGTTAAAAGGGAGTTTGTCCTTCCCACTATTGCCAAGTTCTTGGTAATAAGTGGTTTACTGATTGTTGGGGGTTTTCTCTGTATTATTGTAGGGGCTTTACCTTACAATATAAAGCATCTCGAGGGGACTGTTGCTGTGATTGATGCAGTATAAATAAGGTGAATTGAATTATTAATTTTATTATTTCATATGAGATTCAAAAATAAATTGTAACCCTCTTGTATATCTGGTTCTTTTATTTGATCGTGTATATTTGAGCAGAACAATATAACAGTATAGTTTTCAACCCTTATGACATGACATTGTTGGTAAAAAGCTTTTACCAGTCACATGAATTAACCGTGTGCAACTAAACACAACAGATCCCTCAATTTCATGTTAACTTACTACTACATGTGAAAATCCTGCTGTGTAAATGCTCCACTTATGTCATAAGAGCTGATACTTCTTAAATGTAACTCTCTTAATATTGGATACAGCCTACATGTTGCGGTCAAAGGCTAATAAAAAAAATCATATTTCTAGACTAACCCAACACAATAAACGCCTCCGTTTATTTCAACATATCCAGAACAAAATTATTTTCTTCATCTTGATTTTCATTTCTGTACATGTTCACTGTACCATTGTAATATATTTACATTTCAAAGATATTATTATTATTTTGTTAGCATTGTTTAATTTTGTCCGCCCTTTCGACGAGTGCCGTTGAATCCAACAAAAGCACGGTGAAATTTCCAGCACTTTAACTTTAAAACTCTATTTGGCATGCGCCATTTAAAACCATGTAATCGTCTCTAAACAGATAATCGCTGTGAAATTGTCAGAGAAGGCTTTCAGAGGACAGTAATGAAGACGGGCGGCAAGGTTTAGCGAATGGCAGTGTGTTTGATTGGCAGACTTTACAGCCAAGGCAAACACACTTCATTATGGAAATGTATGCACATTATTTTGGCCTATATCATCAACAGTCAACACACATACACTCGTTGCACCTGCAGATACAGGTTCTTGTGTGGTAACAGGCTGGTGTTGTCAGGGCTGCTGTGGTGCCCCCGGAGACAATGAGGGGAGAGGGAAGAAGACAAAGAGAGAATACTGACGAAGATGAACTTGACCTTTATGATGTCTTGGTGAGGAGGGGTTGGGGGCATGTTGGTACTTATGAATCTATAATGAATCTGAACTATGTATGTGTGTGAGTATTGCTGGTCTGTACTCTAAGCTGAAGAAAGGTCATCACACAAGGGGACCACTAATACACCTGGTGCTATCTATCTATCTATCTATCTATCTATCTATCTATCTATCTATCTATCTATCTATCTATCTATCTATCTATCTATCTATCTATCTATCTATCTA